AGAGAGTTAAAATTTGTAGGGCTCATAATGAGGAAAGAAGGCTTGGAAAATTTGATACCCACAAGACAGATTGAAGGCAACAGGCACAGAGAACAGCAGTGTGTAACCTACCTAAGAAACTTTTGTAAATGGTTTGGCAGAACAGGGATTAGGAGAGATAGTGAAAAGGTAAAATTTACTAAGAGCTATAAAGGACAGGAAATTGTGGTGAGCCATGATCTTATGTTCTGCCATCTTTTTATACAGATTTTGTTAGATAGGTTACTCACTGTTTGTCTCTGCTTCTCTTATCGAATCCTAGAAGTTGTTTTTCTTATTATGTATTCCAGAAAATTCAACTATTTTTAATTATCTTTTTCATTCCCATTTTCTTTGAAATGTTTTCATTTTTTTTGCATATTCTGTTCTTGGTATTCTCATCATCCTACACTTTTATCACCACAAGTCACCTCTTCATCTGTGTGGAAACTATTCAAATTTCACTTCCATAAATGAAGATTGACGTTATTTAGCAGTTCAGTACTCTCTTTGCTTCTAATGAAAATTTCCTGTTTCTTCATAATCTCTTTAGCTTTTGGAAGGCATCTTTTTTTTTTTTTTAAAAATAAATGATTGTTTATATTTTTTTTAATCAATTCACCCCAAGCAATGTGATAATGCCACGAAGACACAAGGGTCTACTGGAAGTGAAAGAGCAGGAAAAGACTTTAGAAGGAATCAGAAACTTAATAGGATTACAAATTTCATATTTTTAGATGTTAAAAGCATAGAGTTGAAGTAAAATATAGAAGGAAGTGGAAACCTAAACCTAAACAGGAAACAAAAGATAAAACTATTCCTCTTCCAAAAATCTGGGGAGGAGTGTGAACTGGGTGATAGGTGAACTTACTAGCTTTCTATATAGCTTTACTTTAAATGACCTCAACATATGTAAAAATTTTATTTTTTTCTCTTATGATGCAACAAAGCTTTGAAAATGATATTCATACATTTGTTTATAAAATTATAATTTTCATAAAATATTTCTTCTTAAATCTGATCACCTGTCAGTGTTTTTCACTTTTCAATTAATCTCCAACCCAAGTGAATTTATATTTATGAGTTGTTCCAACCCCAAATCCAAATGGTCAGTTAGCTGACAAATCCCTGTTTAACAAAACCTCACTACATGTGATAAAAAAAAGTGCAGAGGTCATTTTGAAAGATCATTTTTGACAGGTAATGAGCATAAATATTCATGTATTTTTCAAATAGTCAACAAAACAAATTATTAATATTTTTCTTCCAATTTACAAAAAAAAAAAAAATTGTCTTTCTTTCGAAAACTTAATTTGCCAAGCTTTGAGGCAAGTTTAATTGTGCCTTAATATTAAAATTCTGCACAATCCAGAGAATATTTTAATGAATTATAAAATGATTGAATTTTAAATACACACCAAACAGCTTGTTCATTGAATATCAAGTGATATTTCCTTTTTTTTTAATTTTTTGTGAGTTGATGATCAAGAAATATTTGTTTTATTTTCTTGGTTATCAAGGAATACTTTTTTATTTCTTTTATTGAATATTGAATGATATTACTTCCTTTTCATCTCCCATTTTCTTTTCTTTAATTTCTCTGCCATATTCTTGAAGTGAATGAAACTATCTAATAATAACAGTACTTTCGTAAAGACGATAAAACACGATATAAAATAAACCATGACAAAGAAACTGAGGAGGCCATTTTCTGTTTTAATAAAATGTGAGGTTATTTCCAAATTCATAGCCATCTGTATGTCATTAAACATTAAAAAAAACAATAAAGAATCATTTTTTAAAGAGTTATACTATCTTGCCTGAATTCTTAAACCATAATCTTAATAAAAACAAATTTTTAGAATTTGCAATTCAACCTAATGTTATCTTGAATAACAGAATATCATGAATGGTAATACATTTTTTATATGTTTTGCAATGATAGTTTTATATTTAAAAATGATTTCTTATGCACTGGCCATGTTAAAAGATACATCAAAATTGGTCAACCATAACAAATAGTAATATGAAAAATTATAGTAAACCAATAGTAATATGAAAAATCTCCCAGTTTTATTTCTTGATTAACATTAGGCAAGAGCAAAAATATAATTTCCTAAATCATAGATAAAATGCTCCTGATTGCATGTCTTGCTAAGGGCTTAAAAATATAAACATCTGTAGCAGACATATTGCCTTTTATATAATAAATTATCTGATAAATCTAGAATTTATAAAGATGAGTGGTTTAAAATGCAATATTATTTTTAAAAAATGAAATCGTAATTTTTAATGAAAAGAAATATGACTGTAGCTTCATAAAATAGAGGACTATCTGTACTTTAATAATATAGAAAACAAATCATAATTGTATTGTCTATAACTTTGAACAGATAAATTAAGATTTCAACTGCTGAGCTCCTATTGAAACAAAAAAAAAATGAATTCTCTCTCTCTCCCTAACACTTATACTCCTGAAGAAGTCTCTTTAATGCATCAGTTGAAATTTTATTCTACACTATAGATAGATACTATTATACATTATTAGTTGTGTTAGCAGTACTAAACTCACAATGAAACCGACCTTTTTTATACACTACTCCTCTAATAACCCTACAATTAAACATATATAGTTAGTAGGCCCTGTATCTGGAAAAATAATTATTATTCTTAAAAATTGTTACTGTAATACTGATTTGTGAAAAGAACCCAAAAATAGAATATTATTAATTTATAATTATTACAAAACATTAATCTTTTTATTAATGTATAATATTAATACTATTAATGTAGGATATTAAACTGATATAATTTAAAATATTATTAAACTATTATTGTTGAAAATTTTTAATCAGTTATTATTATAAACTATTAAACTAATATTATTACAGAACATTATTATTATTATAAAATATTAGTAAACTATTATCACAGAACATTACTAAATCATTATGATAATACAGTATTTTTAATTTGTTATTATTATTATCATTATTCAATTATTATTATAATAATAATATAAGGGCTTATGGCCATATCACATTTAAACAGCAAGCCCTGTATCATCATTGAAGGTAAGCAATATTTAGCCTGGTCAGTATCTAGATGGGTGACCACTTGGGAATACCAGGTGCTGTAAGCTTGGATGTGCAGGTGATATGATGGATAATGGCTAGGAATAGTGAATTCGAGAGCTGAGTTTCAATTTCAGTTGTTTTTGTTTTATACTCACTTACGCAAAAATACCCTTGGAAAAGGTATGAATTCATCTCTTCTCACCAAACTATGGTTTAATTAGTAAGAATTGTACCAGTAAATCATTATTATTTCAAACAAAAAAAAAATTCTTACAATCTAAAATATGTTTTGGTTTTAAATAACCCACAAAGGGTTGATAAACTGTAAAAAAGAACGTTTTTTTGAGCCTTTACGTCTTTGGTTTTGGCATTTGGTGGTTTTGCACTGTATTTCATCATTTAGATGATTTTGTATTTAATTTTTAGATCAATAATTATCAATATATTTAGTCTTTCAATGAAAAGCAACAAAAATAAGATGAGAGAAAGAATATGCTTCATTGAAGAAAGTCAAACTGGTATGACCTCTACTATTATTCAGTGTAAACAAATAACAAAATTATAACAGAAAAAAAAGGTCAAAAATTAATCATATTCAAACTTAAATCAGCTTATAAAGTAAGGCAATTCTGAGAGAACTAGAAGATCTACTAGGATTCATTATTGGCGGCCACAATCTTAACAATAAGATATGCAGGTGACACAGTGTTAACAGCAGACACTGAAAATAAACTACAAGGACTCCTACAGAATGTAGTGAAGAAAAGCTTAAACATCAATTGCAAGAAGGTGGAATGCATGGTTGTTAGCAAAAAGAACAGTCCAACATGCAAATTACAAATTGGAGATAGCAAAATCAAGCAAGTAAAACAATTTAAATATCTGAGAATTGTTTTAACAGAGGAGGAAAAGTGTGACAATGAAATCTGAAGGTGTACTGGAACAGCAAAAAAAATGCCTTCCAAAAAGTAAGCAAAGTATTAAGAAACAGGAAAATTTAATTAAAAACAAAGAAAAGAGTACTGAACTGTTATATCAAATAATAATGGCAGTGAATGCTGGACAATGTTCTCATAGAAGAAGAAGAAAATTGAAGCAACAGAAATGTGGTTCTACAGAAAGATGCTGAGAATACCATGCATTGAGCATGTGAGCAACAACAAAATTTTAGAGAAAATGGAAACAAAAATGACACTTATACTTAACATTGGAAAGAGAGTTGAAATTTCTAGGGCATATGATGAGGAAAGAGGGATTGGTACTCACAGGAAAAATTGAAGACAAGTGAAGCAGATGAAAACAGATAAATATTTAAATTACTCAAGCAATTATTCAAGAATAGATCAACTGAAATGTTATAATAATAATGAAAGCAACAAAAATAAGGAATCCTTTCAGAATCATAGAATGTATTGACACAGTAAAGATGACTGGAGAGGACATAATGATGAAAGAGGGCATGGAAAATTTGATACTCACAAGATCGATTGAAGGCAAGTGGGACAGGCAAACAGTGCATAACATATGAAGCAAGCTTGAGTAAATGGATGAAGGAACATGGTTTAAGAAAGATAATAAAAAGACAAAATTTATTGAGAGCTATAAAGGACAGGAAATTGTGGAGAGCTATGATCATCAACGTCCTGAAGGGATATGGCATATAGAAGAAGAAGAATATAGGAAATATTTTTATTCAAAACAAAAGTTCAAATCAGGGATTGCTATATATGTTTGTATCTTATTTTGATGATGGGACAAGGGTTAGGAGAGATGACGAAATACATTAAGAGCTACAAAAGGAGAGGAAATTGTGGAGAGCCATGATTGCCAAAGTCCTGGATAGACAAGGTACATAAAAGAAGGTGATTGTGGAGACAAGGTTATAAAAAAAAAAATCAAACCAACCTGTTTTAAATGTCCAGTAGATGTTCCGACTAGCATGACCACATGAGTCACTGTTTTTGTGAGAGCAATGGAAGTGAGAATTTCATTTCGGAATGTGATCACTGGTTGGGCAATGACTGGTATGTGGCCTACAACTTTGGCATAGGAAGGTAAGGGTTGAGAATTACACATGTACTGCTCTTTGGACATTTTCATTAACTGTAAAAGAAAAAGAGAAAAATAAAACGTCAGTTTTAGAAGACAACTCTATACAATTTGTTTACAGTATAAAATGCACATTTATGATCCATGACACTTTTATAATATATATATATATATATATATATATATATATAGGTATGTAAAAGCCAGTGTTCACATCTTTGTAATGCACAAAACATGTCAAGCTATGCTTTTAGCTTTCCAAGAGTTTAGCATGAGTTGTATCAACACCAGGAAAGGCATGAATCAGTTTCTTTTCCTTCCAGCTTTGAGTAGCAACCAGTTTGAGAGAAGGAAAACTCTGAATTCAAAACTATGGAAACAGCAATGGAAAACCACTCCATTATCTTTCTCAAAGATAATAATGGTTGGAATTCAATGATAATACAAAACAGGAATCTGTGGAGAGTCATGATTGCCTACATTCTGAAAGGACATGGTATAATTTCCCTATCCCAGCTATGAGTTAAGTAACATGATAGACTTGGGTGGCAGCTAGTCTAAAAGAAGTTCAACTCTGAATTCAAAACTCTGGAGAAGGTAATGGGAAACCCCAAGAAGACATGGCAGTTGATCTATAATAAAAAGGAATCTGTGGAAAGCCATGGTTACCTATGTTCTGAAGACATATCACATTAAAATCAGGACAATTAATAGCAACCTACCAGCACTCTTAAGAGCACCTGAAACTGAATATGAACATTTTCCATAATCTGTTAAATTGTTAGAATAAGTCTCTGACATTGCATCTCTTGGATCAATAGGGTTGCTAAGCTATGCTCATCTCTCAAAGTATCATATAACAGGTTCTACAAGGTTACATGGTACCATCCAATAAGTATTAAATCATCTGTATCTTCTTCCTAAATCTGGGATAAGCCTAACTCATCTTAAACACCTGCAGAAATAAGTTTGAAATGAAAGTGGAATACTAAACATTCACCTTGAAAATATTAACTATAAGATAAATAAAATCCAAAAACCTTGGATTTATAAAACACAAATATATTTTTATCTTAAATTCCAAATTAATTTCTTATTTTAAAATTTATACATTTTTTTTTCATTTGTGTTATATATCAAAAACAATTTTTTTGAAATGCATAAAAACCGTTAAAACAAAAAGATATTTGCCATATTTTTTCACAAGTTCTCAGAGAAAATATTATTCTGATGTCTCTGACAAGACATTTATTTGTGATAATTAGTTCGTAATTACACAAAATTGATCAATTAAACAATGCTAAATGTCTTTCTTTCTTTCTTCAAAAGAAAAATTTCTAATTGAATAAGGCTTGTCTCAAGAAATGAAGTGAAAAATTTTGCAAAAATCAAATGCAAAATCATCAGAATTAAAAAACAAGGGAAAAAGTTGAGAATTCTTTTTCTGTTTTTAAGAAAGAAAAATTCATTTGAAATTCAATAAAACAAGTATTTTGTTTGTCAGCATTTGTACGGTTATTTTTCTATCATCATCATAATCATTATTATTATTATTATCATATTGCCTGTAGACATTTTTAATATAACAACAGAAAAGACTTATAAATCATCAAGTCTTTATCCATTGAAGACTACAAGAGATAAGGTAATCTATAATTCTTGCAGAACTCTTCAGTGATTAAACTTTTCACCCAAATTGTTTCCTTTATATGGCTGGCTGCTCATATCCATGCATACCTGTCTGTTACGGTGGCTAGCTAATATTTGCTGCAGATGCCTGCTCAGTCATATTTATATTTGTTCAACAAATACAGAGCAAACCTATCGTTTATACGGCATCTATCCTGTGTGGATCTTTGATACAGTTTCTGGGAGAGAGGGCATAATATGGTGTGATCATCACTTTGATCAAGACCACTACACTCAAGTCATCAGTCACGATGACTTATGACTTAGTGTTAGTACATTAATTGCTGCCAAACAGTTTTATCTACCCAATATCACTCACAAAACATGAGTCAACCTGTAGTATGGTTTTCAGTCACTTGCTAATGGTGCCATCCACTGGGATCCTCTCCCCCAGACTGATTGACAAATTGATCATAGCAAGACCTGGGTCACATGCTTCCATTTCTTTACTTTAAAAGTGGATTTAACATTCATTTTAACCACTATTGACTATATATTACATGACTACATATTATATGACTATTATATGATTATATATTATATGATTTTATATTATATGACTATATATTATATGACTATTATATGATTATATATTATATGTCTATTATATGATTTTATATTATATGACTATATATTATATGACTATTATATGATTATATATTATGTCTATTATATGACTATATATTATATACTTATATGACTATATATTATATATGATTATATATTATATGCTTCTTATATGACTATATATTATATATGATTATATATTATATGCTTATTATATGACTATATATTATATGCCTATTATATGACTATATATTATATGCTTATTATATGACTATATATTATATGACTATATATTATATGCTTATTATATGACTATATATTATATGCCTATTATATGACTATTACAGCTATGTTTGCTTATTAATGTATTGTAACTGGTGAAAATACATCTTTTTCTTCAAATTTTTCTGCCTTTTCATAATTCTTCTTAATAGATATTATGATTTGCAAGCATTTGATTATGGTACAGAATAGTGTATCTACTTATGCCATTGCAATAACAATTATAATAGTATCCCAACATTCTCTACCATCTTTCTATATGCTCTTTCTTTTTCCTTACCGTTCTTCTTTTCTGTCTATTTTCCCTTTAATTATCCTCTTCTTTCTTTCACTGCCACCTACCCAAAATTTCTTCTAAAAACAACATAATTACAGATTTGAAAATATTTCTGGAATTAAAATGTTTGCGGGCACAAATTGAATTTTACCATTTCAGTAAAATAATGAAATACTGTTGATTGCATATTTTAAATGACAAAATCATAATGAGAAAATATCATTGGTGTTTTATTATATAGAGAATCGAGCACACTGATATGCTGTAGATTTATAAATATACTTATACTATCTGATATCATAACTAATAAATCTCTGCCGTGTTGGTAGGGCTTAGAGTAGGTGTTGTGTCGGAAACCTACCACCCCTCTTGAAGATGAACTTGTCTGTGAACAAAGACTTTAAATAGTGTCATGTCAGAAGACAGATAGACAGAGAAGTTCTTAGCTGAGCTAGTTATTGACTACTCAGGTGATTTCTGTACCTTTTTATCAACCTATTAAAACCCTTTTTATTGTTATGTGTTATTTGGCGTTTGTCTCTACTAACCCCAAATCAACATCATAACAGTAGGTCAATTGCATCTCTTGCTGAGGGGTATGACTCTCACAAAATAGGCTACCTAGAAAGGAGATACTTACAGATTCACATATAAATGACCAATATTTTGCCATTTTTAACAATTGATCTTAGAAAGTGGTGGTGAACAGCTGGTAGTTTAGATATTGCTGAATAGGTTTGATATTCTTATAAAAATCTTGATTTGAAAAGGCTATTTAAAGACTTGAATTTTCAGGTTAATGTTTTGACTTTGTAGCAGTTTATGGTGTTGGGTGAACGTACCTCTAGTACAGCCTATTCTATGTTCAATTTCCTTTTATCTTATACTAAATTTGTTATAACTGATCCATACGCTGAGGTATTTGAAGTGTTTAGTATTTATTAACTCCAAATCCTGAATTCTTATTATGGATTCAGGGTACATAGCATCACTGCTTTCATTCCAATTCCAGATCATAAGTTTCTGTTTTGGAAAGGTTCATCTTGAGTCCTGTTTCTTGGAAAACTTGGTAGAGGGTGTTGATTTTTTGTTCAAGATCATTCTTATCCCGACTATGAATGCCTATGTCATCAGCATAGCCCCCACTCCCATCAGCAGTACATTGGCCTTGGGAGGGAAAACAGGTTTGTTGTAGATTTGTTTGGGGTATGGCATGGAATGTTTAAAAGATCAGTGCCCATCTCTTCATATTTATGCTTGTATATACACAGGGTATAGGCTAGGAAAATATTAAACAGAATGGGGTTCTCATTTCCTGCTCCAGTGCAAGAGGTTTAATAAATTAGGATATCTGACATAATTTGGTAGTTAGTAGAAGATTCTTTACTGACCCTTACTGAAGTGAATTGATTCCTCATGGGATGCCATACTCATGTAGACTTATGTCAAACTAAGCTAAGCTTCTGTCTATATTTCTGAGATGAAGCATTGTAACTATCTACACTGTATGGACAGTTGTCCTCATCTTTATTGTCATATTCATAATGTTTTACGTGGACACATGGCCCAGTGGATAAAATATTGGTTGAAGTAATTCAGTGGCTAGAGCAGAAGTGAACAAAAACTTGAAGAGTTGAGTTACTAAAGGAAATAACTGAAACTGAGATATCCAAAAAGGCATGGCATGTGGAACTAGAACAATCTACCCCAGCAGATGAAATAAAGGGTTCAGTGTGAAATTTCAGCATATATCACTTGAAGGCGGCCAGAGCATACAATGGTTGATACGTCGTTGATATGTTTGATATGTTGTGAATATAACAATAAAGATTCAAACGATGGAAATAGTCTAAATAAGCTAGGCTTATTGACAGTTGGTCAGTTTGTCTGACAGACCATCAACAATGAAGTCAGGTTGGCCATTACAGGATTGGCATGTGGCAGACTATGCTAAGCTTAATATTCTATATTGTATTTTCTCTGTGATGACATATCACTATATTTGTAAATGTCCAATTGCTAAATTTTTACATCTAGAATAATCAGCATCTTACCACAGACATCTCACAACACAACACAGCAAATGAACTTAATTGCACCAGAGACTTAGCAAGGAGGCATAACCAAGATGAGGAAAATATTATGGGATATCAAAAAATATTTAATTCCAAAATCTATTTCAAAGGCTATATTTGACTTAGCTGATTCTATAACAATAATAATAATAATG